TTTGACGTTGACAGCTGTCAATTTTTTTTTGACACAAATCGATAGTTGGCGTCGTGAAACTGCCATGCACCGGGGTTTGATTTTCGTAGCTTTTATAGTAGAGCGGGGAAAAAGTCGAACATGTGTCAAATTTGACAGGTGACATTTGTCGATATTGCCAAAGTGTCGTGCGACAAAAGTTTTATCCGAACGAACCCGTTCATTGTTAACTGATTTTATACACTGATTTTATATCTTTGAAACAAAAAGACGTCATTTTGTATCGATTGTCAAAAAACCCAAGGTTTGAAATTTCAATTTTTTGACGTTTGTTGTATCATGAGCAGTGTTGCCATATGTTTTTTTTCGAATCTCGATTCTGGAAGGCTGAGGTTATCTCAATTATGAGCTCAAAGGGCCGAGGTTATACGAGTCCGAAGAGCCGGAATCATACGAACCGGAAGGGCCGGAGTTATACGGGCCCGACAGGCTGGAGTTATTTTAATCATGAGCCCGAAGGTCCGAGTTTATACGAGCCCGAAGGGCCGGAATTATACAAACCTGTTAATTGTTAACTGATTTTAATACTTCAGCTCTTCGGATCATAATCTTTAAAACAAAAAGACGCCATTTTATATCGACTTGCAAAAAAACCAAGGTCTACCTTGATATTTCAATTTTTTGACGTTTGTTGTTTCATGAGCAGCGTTGCCATATGTTTTTATCAAATCTCGATTTAAAGGTTATTTTAAACCCAATCATTGATATTTCTGAAAAATATTTCCTTTGAAATTCCCAAATATCCTTTGGAATCTCCAAAAATCTGTTAAAATTTCAGAATTCCATAATTTAGTGGAATTTCGGTAGAATAATTATGTTATTCTGAAAAAGGAATTAGATGTGAAATTTTTACGGAGTTTCCATAGAATTCACATTAAATTTTAATTCCTCTCGAATTACTTAAAATTTCAGTGAAATTCCGATCCAATAACACGAAATCCTAAATGAATTACATGGAGGAACTTTAAACAATTACATGATATTACACCTAAATTCTCAACATGAAATTTCAGTTTTTATTGAATTTTAGTAGGTACCTACTGCCGAGGAATTTTCAGCAAAAAACATGGAATTTCGGTGATATTCCGAAAAATTACCATGAAATTTCAATATATTTCGATGAATTTTTAAGATATTACTTGAAACTTCATTAATATTCCCAGAAATTCCTGGCTATTATAAGAGAATTTCAGTGAAATTCCGAAAAATTCCCATGAAAATAGATTAAATTTTGAAAATTCCTTGAAGTTTCATTGGACTTTTGAGAAATTTTCGGTTAAGTTATGAACGTGGATATTTTCATAAAATTTTAGTGAATTCCGAGAAATTTTTAAGAAATTACAAGAAATGTCAATAAAATTCCATAGAATTTCATGAACATTTTGTGGAATTCCAAGATATTTCAGTGGTAAAATTTTGAGGAATTTTAGTAAAGTTAAAAAAAAAATATGGAATTTTGAAATTGAAATCTTAGTGGAATTCCGAGGAGTTTCATGAAATCCTATACCTACTTGAATTCCGAAAAGAAATTGTCCAAGAATTCTATAAAATCTTCTAATGAAATGTTAAGGTATTTATTTCTATGGAATTACTTAAAATTTTCGCGGAATTTCCATGGAATAACTTAAAATTTTAATGAAATTCCAAAGAACTTTGATGAAATCTTCGAGAGGTTTTTCCCCCAATTAGTTTTCCAGGAAAACTTTGAAAGTGTGAGACTGTATTTTCCAAGAGGCAAAACCACCTTGAAATTCTTTGTTATATAAAAACTTGAAAATTTATAAGGAATTTGGAAGATTGTGTTCGATGTTGGACAAATTCCAAGGAATTCTCGTCGAATTACACCTACATGGAATATCTTGAAATCTTATTGTGGAATTCCAGTGAAATTATATCGAAACCGAAAAATTCCCTCGGAATTAAACAGAATTTTCGTGGGATTTCCATGGAACCACGAAAAATTTCGGCAGAATTCCGAAAACTTGAATTAAATTTTAGTGAAATTCTGAGTAATTTCTGTCGAAATTTCCATGAAATCTTCTACTGTAATTCCGAGGAATTTTTGTACAAGAATTTCATTGAATTTTATGGTGGAATTCGGAAAAGTATTATGAAATCTTATGATAAAATTTCTAGGACTTTCTGTTTTTCTATTCAAATTTGTCATTTGAATGAAATTTCGAGGATTTCCATAAAATCTTCTAGTGAAATTCTGAGGAATTTCTATGGAATTAACAAAAATTTTCGCAGAATTCCCATAGAATATTTATCGTTAAGGCTCCCCTAAATTAGATGGTAGATTTATATACAAGTTGGTCAAAATCCCAGAAAAACTCGTAAGATCTACTCAAAATCACTGAAAATCTTTAAAATCTTTTAGCCTCCTCACTTGAAATAGTCACGAGCCGCCACTGTGAATGTGTTATGGAAACCCATAAGATTCAGGTACCTCTTATGTTATTTATGAATTTATGACCTATGAACTTTTGTTTTATGATTATATATTTTGTATTGCTATAAGCAAAGTATTTTGTGAACCTGATTCACCTGATTGAGGGCAATCAGATTAGTCAGGATAGGCCGAACTGTAGTAACCACTTGATATTCCCGCTCAAACTTTTAAATTAAAATTTGCGCCGGATGTCAGTGGCGCTCCCTGGCGGGGAGAGCGAGAAAGCGTTGGGGAAGGAAGGGAATATGGCGGAGAGACGTGGTTGCGCAGGACGGACCGTCCGCCATGGAATGGTATTTTTGGAAATAAAATTGTTCTAAACGGTTGTGCTGCTTTTTCTGAGTTTGAAACCGCTCGTTTAAGCCTTCCTACATTGTCTTATAAAATGTTTTCATATTTTTTATAAAAATGCCACTTTTCCTTGTTTGAAATTTTCAAATGGCATTTGACAGGTGTGAGGCAAGTCTCGAGTCAAAAATTTTAGGTGTTTTTTTGGTTTGCAGAACCTAATGCCAAAAACCGATTTGAAGTAAGGATGAGCATAAAAAAATTTCTCATATGGTGCAGACTTTTCTGCGGACACTGTATAATATCACAAGAGAAAAAAATTTGTCGGCAAAATTTTCGAAAGGTATGAAAGTTTGTTGCTTGGCAATTTTCGAAAAGCAACAAACTTGAATAAAACCTTGAGAACAATTTTGCCTACACAATTTTTTCTCGAGAGGTATTCGTCATGACTATTTCACGTAAGATTTTGAAAATAAATAGAATGTAAAAAAATGAATAAAAATTTCAAATTGAAAATATCAGTTTGACAATGTCAAAAAATGGTCGCTGAAATACCATGTTGTTGGTATTGTCCAGGTAGCAATATTGTCAGGTGAATACCGAATTTATTGCCGGTGTAATACACTCTAGTGAAATAGTCATATATTATATCACAAGAGCTTTAAATTTAATCGATTAAACTATCCAACATATTTTGAGCATGATTTTGCTTGGAAAATAGTTGAATGCGCAATAACTTAATATTCAAAAGTTATTGTGCATGAAACTATTTGCCAAAAAGCAAAATTATGCAAAAAATATTTGGATAGTTTAATCCATTTAAATTTATAGGTCGAGTGGTATACGGCTAGATTATTTCCTGAATAATTAGGATTGAATTGTTGGCGTCAATCCTATCCAAAGAGTTCTATTTATTATAAAATGTCAGAATATTTCTATCAAAATTCTGTCAAAAAAGGTAAACAAAAATTTAATCGCTGATAAACAGGTCTTGTGAAATAATCACTCATTTAAACAAAATTCATTCAAAAAATGACGTTGTCTGATGGGTATTTTATAATGAATGAAATAATCACAAATAAATCTTTCTGGACCAAATTAATTGTTTTACTTTTTTTAATCCGACAAGATATGAGAGTCATTTAGCTATTAAAAACCACAATTCCAGAATCATTTTCTAATTATTTTCTTTTGGTTCCAGGTCTAACAGATGCACAGGTCAAGGTGTGGTTTCAGAACCGAAGAATGAAATGGAGACATTCTAAAGAAATTTCGAAAATAGCAGACAATGCAATAGATTCGACACAAGAAGAGCCGCACATAGATGTAGATACCATAGGAGAAGATGCTGACTGATTTCTGTTGTATTATTTGTGGTTTAAGTGTTTGTTTGCATTATTGATTCAGATCAAAGTATGAGAAAAAAAACCTATATATTGCTTTAATATTAATAAAAAACTGTGTTTTACTATAGGTGCTGAAACTTGGTTTACAGTCTTTCATTTCAAAACGTTCTAATAGTTTCTGGGTGCATGAAGATTGCTTAAGATTTATTTCACCATTATCTCTGTCCTAAAATTTTTCAATCATCAATAATCATAATCCAATATTATTTTATAAATTAAAATAATTTGGATTTTTTGCTGACGTATCAGTACCAAATCTTCTTCCGTTATCGAAGCTTGGGGGGCTCACGAAATTAACTAATCAAACAAAGTCACAAATTTGATTAATATTGATTGATATCAGGTCAGACTTTTGACAATAATCATGTTAAGAAAATGGTGGTGAGTATTTTATAAAAATTAGATTTCCAATTATTTATCTATAATTTACCACTGATACATAACCATATAATTTAATTGTCCATAATTTCTTTTTGAGGAACTTAAATAAGCGCTCTCCTGCAAATTACAATTTACTGTCGGGAATCAAATTAAAGGCTAGCCTCAGCAATGATTGATAAAGGCTCGGAAACAAGAATTTTATGAAATATGTATTTTCCTTGAAGGTGTTAGTTGTAATTATGCAGCTGAAAAATATTGTTTTCAGAGCTTTTCTGTTTGCTATTGTTTCGGCAAAATTGAGAGCACCACATTTAAGCTCAAAGTGTTTCATAAATGAAAATTATAAAGTGATTAAACATTATTTTCGGCAAACTAAAGTGATGGAAATGATTATATTCCATTATCCAAACAGGACGAATCATAAGACACGTTCCATGACTACCAAATTCTACAAGTTAAATGCTGCAAAGCTAAATATACCATCGATAATAAAAATAAGAAAGATGCCCGAACATTTAAAACATAAAGAGATAATAGAAACTAATTTAAAAAACTATTCAGTTATACGAGTAATGAAAAGCACAACTTTATCAAAAAAAGATCATAAAAAAAATCGCTTTTACAACTCAATATCATTTGAGCCACATTTAGTACAAGTCGTAATTATTGAGAACCCAATAACACTTTATAAGTTTTTGAAGTCAACTCCAAAACAATTATTTAAATATACGAGAGGCTTGAATATAATTTTGTTTTCTTCGATCAATGTCGAAATCGAAGATATCCAAAAATTTTTAATTTTCTATTGGGAAGAATATCAGAGATTAAATGTGATCGTACAAGCACCATTTTGTTGCAAATTGAACACTTCTTGGGTTATTTTCAAGCCTTTTGAACCAACTCAATTCGGCTTTGGACAAATTCAAATTCACGATTTGGAACATATGTTGCAAACTAACATGAATTTACTACAGAATCATGCTGCACGTTTGAATGGTTACCCTCTACGTATTTCTTTATTCGAAAGATATCCAACAGCATTGACGTCTTTACCGAAATTATTAGAAGATTCAAAAATTTATAAGCCATTTTCAAATTCTCCTGGACTGTTCGGTGTTGATGGTATGTCTATGAGATATTTATCAAAAATAATGAATTTCGAGATAAATTTATGTACCGATAGTGAATGTCAATATTTCGGAGTAGTATTCAGTAGTAATAGATCAGTTATTGGAAGTTTGAATAAAATTTTAGAAAGAACTATAGATATTCAAGGCAATGGATGGTTTATCATGGATTATGGAATCAAAAATCTGGAATTTACTTTACCTTATGATTTTGATGAGCTCTGCATTGTAACGCTTAAAGCTCCTAAAAAACCCGTGTGGCTAAAAATGCTTTTTCTGTTTAAAGAAGATGCTGGCATCGCTATTATTGTTACAATTTTATTGTTGACTGTTATAAATAGGCAACATTCATTAATCGACTCTGCTATGGAAATGTATTGCATACTTATTGGACAACCATCGTTGTGCGCTATAAAAAAAAATCAGCTTTGGAAAAGAATCCTCATTGGAAGTGCTTCAATATTTTCCTTAATCATCACAACAGTTTTTACGTCGACATTATTTATGGCTTTACAAACCGTAACTTATTTCCCTAATATGCAAACTCTGGAGGAAGTTGATAATTCCAATGTAAAAATGATAAGCTCTTTTGATCCATTTGCAAAAAGCCCTTTGAAGCTTTATGAAAGATTGTCAAAAAAATTCATGTTGGATCCAAAACTAACTGACATTTTAAAATGTGTCGTTCAAGGCCTAGGAGCTGGAGTGGAACGATATACCGATGGACAGCTCAGGATTGCAACCGAATATTTAAGTCCAGATGGGAGCCCTCTATTGCACATAGTCCCTGATTGTCCCAAGAAAATGTTTTTAGGTTACCTCACCCCTATGGGTTCACCTTATTTGGAAGTTATCAACTATTACTTACGGAAATTCGGCGAAGCTGGCCTTTTCATCAAATGGCATCAAGATTTTATTTATGCTATAAAGTTAGTAGTCCAAACGCATCATCACAACAAGCATGGGAAAATAAGGGTTTTGGATTTGAATGACGTTTATGTGGCTTTTTGTATTTTGATTTACGGATTGTTGGGCTCTTTTTTCGTGTTTTTAGTGGAGATTTTGAAGGGACAATACGATACGCGAAGACAACGATTGAAAAATCAAGGAAGAAGAAAATTTATTTGTAATATTTTCAGACTTAATAATAAAGGAGTTTATAAGTAATATTTTTTCATTCCTTATTTTATAAAATTAAATAACCTAAGGCATAGATTAAATGATAATTATCTGGTAACGATCCAGAAAAATGGAGAATTAAATTACAGGGACTTAAAATGCGAAAGGAGAGTTTTCTGAAATCAAAACTTAATAAGGACATAATTAAATGAAAACTAAAATTAAAATTCTTATTATGAAGTGGCGGGAGAGACCACAGAAAATAGTCTTGCAATTAGTAATTTTATAAAAGGACGAATTTGCATAATATTCTGAATTCAATAAGAAGTAGTTTCAAGAGTTATTTCAATAAGATTAATCACGAGGCAGTTTTTCCCAGATATCTTTATGAAACTGCTAATGTGTTTTCAAAAATCTTGATGTTAAGAAATTGAAATATAAAACAGTTCAGTGAAACAAACGTTAAAACTGATCGAATCAAAGTAAATAGAATAGGTAGGTAATTTCAAAGCTCTCAAATAATGACTGGTAAATTGAATCAAATAATTTAATTTTAATTAATTTTCCAATATTTCAAGAGAAGTTCCGATTCAGTAGTAATAAAGTCAAAATAATTAAAATTGGCACTTGTATAAATTAATAATTCAAAACCAAGTTTAAAATTGAAATAATAAATAATTGCAGAAATGCCAGTCTTATGACATCGCAAGGTTCCTGAACGGTTAAGCAACGAAAAAATATTGAACTAGTAGCAAAGTAACAGATTTATATTTTAAAAAAACATTATTTATGGCCGACACGAGTTCGGCATCATCGGTAGATACATATGTGGCCTCACATTTTCACAATATCCGTTGATCACGATAATGTCGATAATCAAGGAAATTGCGACATCTTAGGATGAACAAATGATTATTGCCGTATTCGTTTTGTCATCTTTTTCGTCGATTTGCTCCGAAATTTGGACAGGCACGTGATTTATGAACTGAAACTGTCTAATCCAGTCACGTGCCTGTCAAAATTTCGGAGCAAATCGACAAAAAAGATGACAAAAACGAATACGGCCTATATTTCCTATAAATAGCGGAAGAGGATTTTAGGTTTAAGTATCGAAATAAAGCGAGTTCATGGTGGGACCAAAATGAAACTATTTAAACAATCAGGTAGAGAGAACAATAAAGTAAATCAGTGCAGATTAGTCTGAGATACACTAGAGTTGAAAGTCCAAAAGTGGACGGTCATCAGATAAAATTCTCGAAGAGTTTTTGGTTTGTTTTCCAACGCTTCGGACATCAATAATTAACAGTTTGTTTCCCTCATTTGCAAATAGACCCACTCTACTATAAGTAAACATCATCAAGAAAACTGCTCTTCATTTACCATCTACAAATTAGAGTACCTACTTTGGCAGGCAGTGGTAAAGGGGCACTTGAACAAGATTGAGCCGTTGAGCATTTTCATCTAATTACTTTGTATTCCGTGCAAAATTTCTATAATTAATATCAGTGCAAAACGCTTTCGGCCCGAGCCATCTTCAGTGCAACCTGAAAGTATAGAAAAATTACTTTCTTAAGTGTCTTAAGTGTAACTGACTTAAGAACTGAAAGTGAAAGTGGACTTATTCAAGAGTTCAGTTGAACTAATAAGTTTTCCACTAAAGAAAGTTAATTTTTTACATGGAGTCATCTCATTGAACATAGAAGTGTAAAGGAACGAAGACATCACATTACAACATTTTTAAATATATCAAAACCATTCCTCTAAAATTAAATATACCATTATTATTCAACAGGTTTCTTTGGTACCTAGTTTTTCAACAATCTCGTAAAGAATAATTTATTTTGTTTTAAAAGACCATGCTGATTTTGTGGTCACGGAATGAGTGACAATGACAACTGAAAATAAGGTTATAGCCGCCCCAGAATGCGGGAGATTCAAATTTTCCCAAAACTAAAAAGCCGAGGGATCCAAAAGATTGAACAGTCCTGCAGATAACGAGCTGACCCTTTTTCGCTATATAGACTAACCTGTTATCATCATGGAGTGGAGATAATTTTCTATCTTGGTTTAGTTTAAGGCAGTGAATGATTGAAAATAATGGAAAAGACAAATAGTATTTTAAAAAGGTTCGAAACAAATAATAAAGGAAATAAACTTTGAACTTTTTCTCTCTTTTCTTTGTTGATCAACTTAAAATAGTATCTACATTATATACCTAGGTAGAGAAGTTGGTCATTATATACCGAGCGCTTTTATAAACCTCGGCGCATAGCGCCGAGGTTTATAATGCGTAAGGTATATAATGACTTTCTCTACCGTGGAATATATAGAATTTTTTTACTACTGCTATAGTGGAAAATAAAAAATAAGTATGAAATCTGCGCTCAATTTATTTTTTCTGGTTGGAAGTGCTGCCCTCTATCAACATCTATGGTAATTTCCTATGATACATACAGGAACCTGTTTTTTTGATTAAACTGACAGTTTGAAATTGAAATTAAACCAATAGAAACCTGTAACGTTATGACAACATCCTTGCGTCATGACGTCATTTTCATTATTGACCTAGGTTTTTTTTCATTATTTTCATTATTAACCTAGGGAGAGAAATTCAATTTTTTCCGAGAAAAATAGATTGAATAATGACTACTTCTCAGGTTAGTAGTAAAAAAAATAATTTAGGAATAGTCAGTGTAGAGGGATGTAAGCTCTATTAAGATTTACTTGTGTATTGAGGCAAGAGAAATTGTCTTGAAGTTCATTTTTGATTTTAATGTCTTCCATAAAATCCAAGCGATTAAAGTTTTTTGACCGAATGTCATGAAGAATCTTAGAATTAGATCTAGGGCTGAAGTTATGTTTGGTTGTCCTTAAGTGTGCACCAAAGGCCGAAGAAATTTTAGTGAGGTGTTCTTGTATGCGTGTTTTTAGAGGTCTGCAAGTACGGCCGATGTAAGTGCAATTACAAGAACTGCAATTTAATTTGTAAATCACACTGTTGGACAAGTGGTCTATTTTGTCTTTGAAATTAACAAGATGAGAAGACAGATTATTTGTGGTCTTGCAAGATATTCTGATGTTCTGGACGATATGGTGAAGTACTTGTTGGATTTTCAAATTTAAATCATGAGTTAAAAAAGGAAGAGAAATGTATCTGCCTATGGGTTGAATGAAGGTAGGAAATAATAATTTTTTTTGTTTGAGAATTTTGACTTCATTATTATAGTCTTCCTTTGAAAGGGGGATGTTGAACAGTCTAATAATGTAACAGTGAAAAGCTGCCAGCTTTGTGTTGTCGAGGGTGGTTAAAGCTTTCGGGGATGGTGTGGTCTGTCTGTGTGAGTTTTCTGTAGATTGGGAAATTCAGCTGATTTGATTGATTCTTCAAAATAAAGAAGTCCAGAAAGTTGATTCTGTCATTGCTTTCAATTTCCAAAGTGAAAGAGACTTTTGGATGTATCAAGTTTAATTTTTGTAGAAGAAGTGCAACTTGGTTCTGGTTGCCATCTAAAAAACCAAGACAATCGTCAACGTACCTGAACCAATGTAGTATTTCCTTGTTGTTGTTGGTGATAATGTGTTGATTTTCCAAGAAATACATTAAAAGATCAGTCCAAAAAGGTGACAAGCAACATCCCATGGCAAGCCCATCAGGTTGTTGGTAGAAGATGCTGTTGAATGTGAAATAGTTTTGAGAGAAGCAGTGATTTAGAAGAGATATCACGTTAAGAACAGTTGTTCCGGATACATTCTTTGATCTTAGCAAGTCTCCAACGATTTTGACAGCTTCAGCCTTCGGGACAGTTGTAAAAAGGTTCGTGACATCAACATCAAACGATACAACCAAAAAGTTACTGGGCAAATTAATGCTGTTTAATTTGTTAATTAAGTCAATTGAGTTACTTACCCCAAATTTTGGTGTGAAGGATGACAGATTTTTTATCAAGTTTAGTGTGAAAGAAGAAAGAATGGATACTGGAGTATTGGTGAAACTTACCTCAGGTCTTATAGGAGTGTCAACTTTGTGGATTTTTGGTAGTCCGTACAATCTAGGCAAACTTGGATTGCTGGAAATGAGAGTTTTTGGAGCATTGTGATCTTGAAAAAATTCGCAGTAGTGCTTTGTGAGTCTATCACTTATTTTTCCTGATAAAGGTGTTATGTGGGTTTGACTGTAAAATTTTGAAATTGTTGTTCTGAAGGAACATGGTAACTTGCGATGTATAATCAAGTTTGTCGAGAACCACAAAACAATTCCCCTTATCAGCCTTTGTTACAATCAAGTTTTTCTCCCTAATCTTGGCTTTGAGCTTTTTGAGAGTTTTGTAAAAGTGAGAAGGGATAGAGAAATTAGTTTTTTCCAAATCGTTTTTGTACCTAGGTGTAAGAATATTGTGAATGTCATAACGTAGTGATTTTTTGATGTTATAATTGGAAGTAATTTGTTCAATAATGACATCGAGTTCTACGGCGTGTTTGAGAACATCACTCTCAGAAAACGGTTTGTGTAAACAAAATTTCAAGCCCAAACTAAGAAGGGCAAGCTCGTCATCCTCAAAGACAATGTCAGAGATGTTTTTGACTCTCTCATGAAAAACAAAATACGGATATTCACGTGCCTGATTTGTTCCATTTTTCTTTAGGGTATTTTTTTGGTGGATCAAGGCTTTCAATTTTGACTTAAGCTTATCGAATTTGATGATTTTTAAACTGTTAACCTCATCCGAAATGTCCGTAAGGATATTATTAAATAATTCATTATCGAGAGAGCTAAACCAAGTTGTTATGAAACTTTTTAAGTTGACAGTTAGGCATTCCAACCACCTGTCAAAACTATCCCAAAATGGCCCAAAGTTCATTATTCCGTATAAGACAGTACAGAATTTAAAGCTTTTTAAAGTGCATTATGTGGTGGTTTTGTGACTAAACCCTATTTATTTTTTTTATTTTTTATTTTATTGACTTCATAAGGGTTTTTTTCTAATTGAAAATGCCACAAAGGTGTCTTTATAAATGCTTTTGGAAGGCGTTTCAACAAGGATGATGTCAGGTTGTTTTCAGTGTCCACTGTTTTAAACTGTTCCAATTGAAACGTGAAAATTATTCAGTACCACTGTTCCTGCATCTAATATAAAGCCATACTCGAAATACTTTTAAGAATCTAAAACTTTTGTAGGCCTTCATTTGCTCATTGCTGTAAAAACTGTGGGTCAAAATTTAAACAAATGTTGGACATTTTTTCAAACTCACCGTTTGCCCACATCCCGATTTTCCCGCATTAACGTCTTTAAATATCCACTCTGCATCCCGAAAAGTGTATTAAGTATAACAAAGTGAACTGTAATTAGCTCGAAAATATTCCAGATAAACAAAAAAATATCTATTTTTCTACAAACGCCATATTGAATAATCACGTGGTTTGGAACGCCTAATTGAGAAGATTCAACTTTGCATAATGTTGAGTTTCTGAATCAGTTTTTAGTTTGTAGGGAACGTTGTTAGATAATTTAACCTAGCAAAAATAGGGGTGACCTTTTCCAGAATGCAGTTGTTTAGGAACCAAATGTCTTGATGCAAAGTTGCTCAATTATTCAACTGCGGTATGGCAGACCTGGCTGAACAGTACAGAAAAGTCTCCCTCAGACGAGCAACTTTGCATCAAGACATTTGGTTCCTGAACAACTGCATTAAGGAGAAGGTCATCCCTATTTTTGCTAAGGTTAAATTCTCTAATAACATTCCCTAAAAACTGAAAACTGATCTAGAAACAAAAATAATTATACAAAGTTGGATCTTCTTAATTGTCAACTTAAAAAGCTTCATAACAACTTGGTTAACTCTCTCGATAATGAATTATTTGATAATATCCTTGATGACATTTCGGATGAGGCCAACAGCTTAAAAATCATCAAATTCGATAAGCTTAAGTCAAAATTGAAAACCTTAATTCACCAAAAAAAATACCGTAAAGAAAAATAGAACGAATCAAGCACGTAAACTTCCGTATTTTGTTTTTCATGAGAGAGTCAAAAACATCTCTGACATTGTCTTTGAGGATGACGAGCTTGCCCTTCTTAGTTTGGGCTTGAAATTTTGTTTACACAAAGTTGGTTAGCAGGTGGAGTTAGAACCATTACCAGATTATACCGAACCTTTTGAAATTTTATGTCAGTCTGATCATTTTTTGCCACACCATCCAACTACAAACCTAGTAGTGCCACAACACCTATACGACCTGTTTTTGATGCGTCATCAAGAGAAAAAAATGTCACTATCTCTGAATCAATGTTTGGAAAAGGGTAGGTATCAATCTTATTGAATTGATTCCTTCCATGATTTTACGTTTTCGAACAGAGAAGATTGGAGGAACTGCTGATATGAACTTTCTTTTCGAACTTTTTGGAAGAAAATCATTAGTTTTTGTAAGAAAAACAATCATCAAAAGTCTTGTTGCGGCCCGTGTATTCCGAAAATACGGAGAAATTGATTGGTCGATAGGCCGTGGATTCCGGTTTGGAATCCACGGGGCGTGTAGAATTGCCAATTCTACACCAATTCAATTGGTATCATTAATCAGTTTAATATCGAGCAAGAATGAATGTAGGGGAGAGTCGGGTATTGGTACGCACCTAAGCCACTCACCAAATTTCGGAAAATTTAAAAGGTCAGGATATTTTTCTATGATGCATATCGATAGTTTGATATATAAGCTACTATATTCCCATGTCAAAACGGTACAGTTTGAATTAGGAAAATGACAACAGCCGATTTTCCGCATTGCGCACAATTACCATACTGAAGCGGTTAATGGTGCGCATAGGTATGGTAATCGTGCGCACGCTAAGCGGTTGTAATGTATTGATACTTAAATGCATATAACGACAAAAATTGTTGCTAAAGAAAAAAGCCCAGCCATGCTTTCCCAGCCATGCTTTTCCAGCCATTCGCAAATTAGGATTAAATTTGTGATTCAAGTTATTTGCTTCTGCAAATGAAGACGCTAATTTTCTAAACTGGACCATGAAAAATTTAAGCTAGCTTTAGAACATGATCTTTCAATTCCTTTTCATGGTTTGGGGAAAAGACGCAGTATTTATCAAGATGAGGTTCCGCAATACTAACGCTATTATCAAATTCCCTTTTTCTTTTTCTTATTGAAGATTCCGGAATATTGTCTGTGTCCCATGACGCCTTTGTGGTTTTGCGTGTATATTTGGACATCTTAAATAAAAATAAATTGAAGTTGTGGGTTATGTATAGATATAAATAAAGTCGTCTAATAGGGCGCACGTCTGGTAATGGTGCGCACCTGCGCACCATTAGACGACTTGGCATTTTTGTTTATTAGATTAAAAACAAAAGAAAAATTAAACAAATCTTCAACAAATAAATAAACTAACTTATAAAGAAAAGTGCAATGAACAAAACTGTCTAATCAGAATTTATTTATCGCTTAATATGCAATACTTACAGCTTATTTTCTGGAGCCACAAAACAACACTGAGATAGGCAAATTTGTAGATTCGGCCATATTTAATACACAGCGTTGCCAATTAGTATTAGTTTGTTTTATGCGTTTACCATATGATAAATAGATGGCGCAGGAATGGTTTTCATCCATATATCTCAAAGGGTTTTTCGTTTATCATGGTGCGCACCATTATCGAACGCGCACCAATATCCAACTCTCCGCTATTCTAAATTCCTCTAAGTACACTAAAACTTACTTCAACAACAGTACATAACAACTTTCATTAAACAATAATTTGACTATAAAATTCACTTATTACCTACTTTTCGAAACGAAAACTAGCCCACAAATCTCGTAATTAAACTAAACTCAAACTTATAACTAACACGCTATTTATATTGGAAAACAAATTCCAGATATTTCTATAAAAACTGGAATGATGAACGCCATTGCCCCGAAATTCTAGCTGATTTACTTCTAGAATACAGTGTAGTTAATACATAAAATAAATGGGCAAAATTTATATAGAGGTAATCCTTAAAATTCCGTTTTAAACTATTCAAATAAACCCAATATAAATATTTCAATGGGAATATTATTCCTTCACTAAAAACTGAAATTTAAAATCTTTTTTTTTTTTAAATTATCTGCGTAAATGTATGCTTTTGTCCACTTCTAAAGAGATATCTCACACTGTCAGTAAGAAGGGCTGGGGCTTTGACGGTATGCGACAAAGCCCAGCGGCAGCGTCGGCAGGTTTCAACTTTTTTTGCCGGCCTGCCGTGTCTTTGATATATATACAAGGACTAGGAATAAAAATATAAAAATAATTTTATATTATTATAAGAGGTATTTTTCTAATTTTGAGCAGTCACCATAGAGATGCGATTTTCAATTGAAATTGGAAATACATTACTTGGCTTACTTTTTGATTTCGTTTTTCTTGTACTTGTACTTATTTCTTCGACTGTACTGTGTTTATATAAATAAAAATAAATACATCATTTGTTTAAAATTTATACTGTACCTATCCAGTCATACGATGGAAGGATAAAATCGAATACAAAAATTGAACGAGGGTTGCTCTAGTGCTGCCCGGATTTAGCAATCAGAAACACATTAAAATAGACGTTTTTGGGTGTGGCATCCGGAAAAAAAATTACCCTCCGGTGACTTTCCCCCTCCCCCTATAAACAAATTTATAAAGTTATTATCCTGCACCCATAAAGGTGATCCTTCCAAATATGAATGTCATTATTTAAATTAAAAATTCTGCACTATTCGGAATAGTCCAGGAGGCAGTGAAATTTTTTAGCACTTATTTTCCCAGTTGGTGTCTATCCAATAGTTTGTTCTCCTGGTGATACAAAACAAGAATTTTTGAGTCTGGCTGAAATTTTCGGATGGGTTCACAAGATCAATGAAAAATACAAGTACGCTTATTTTCCCAGACATAAATATTTCACATTTACTAAGAACATAAAGTATATGAAAATAGCAATTTGGCTTATCTCAGATAGTGGAAGTGAGTCTGGCTGAACATTTTCGGGTCTTCAATTTTTCACTTGCCAGACATATTATCCATACTCACAGATCAGCCGGACTATTTTTATACGTAACTTCAATATACTTCTCATTAGTACACCTATTTTTATCACTGAGAAAAAAAAAAGGTTGTGCATTCGTAAGCTTTAACGCATTTTGCGCCTCAACCCATCGGAAAACCCCCCCTGAAAATACATGTATTTTGCTTAGAATTACTAACCCTACAATTCTATCCATGTTGTCTGACTGGGAAAATAAGTACCGAAAATCGTCACTGCCTCCTAGACTAGAATAAAGATTGTTTGAAAATGAAATATTGTATTCCATTTGAAGTATAAATATTCTTCATGTGACTTGCATGGATTTGATTCAAACTTCCATGCACGTCACGTAAGTATTACTTATACTCCTAATAAAATAAATATCTATTATTTCAACTTTTTGCAGATATTACCTATATGAAACAAGAAGGTATTTGATACACGCATATTATTTTCCATTATTTTAATACATCCTTATCCGAACCTATTCTAATAATAATTATTCACACATATATCACATGATTTGTACTAAGATATCAAAAGTAAAACTACAAGTATCTTTGAGCAGGACAAGAACTGCATGTTTGCATCCCTTGCAGGCACTGTATCGTGCACTGGATCCAACCAATGTAAGCTGGAACGTTCAAGTAAACTCCATATCTGCCAGGTTGTCCACAATTTTTTCCCCAAAGAACTAGACCGACTAAGCTGTACTGGGTACCGCTATCTGTGCAGACCAATGGAGATCCACCATCTTGCTGTAATAAAGAAAGAAGTAACGGATTTAGTGGGAAAAGGAATGGATGAAGAGTTTGAGATAATTGGCATGTCTATTAGTAAATACATACTTACACAGAAGCTCATTGAAATGCTGTTGAAAGAATATTTTGGTATTTATAAGAATAGGAAATTTTATACAAACAGCCATTAAACTGAATCTGAATGTCAAAAAGCTGATATTAGATTTACAAAGACGCTTCCAAGAGTGAAATTTGAGAAATTTCCAAACTTATACTTACTTGGATTTGAAGTTGAAACATGTATTTGACATTTTGAATTTTGTAGGTAGGTATATTTTTCTACTCAAATCAAGTTTTAGTTTGAATAAGAATTAGATACATCACTTTTCGCTTTTATAAGCTAAGAATTGAGTTTGAGACAAATAATTTACTTACAGTGCACGCGTCCAACTGACTTTCACCTCCTGCGCATATTTCATTGGGAAAATCCAAATAGGCAGCAGTGTTGGCAGCTCCCAATATGTTGGTATAAGAATTGGTACATTGGTTATTAGCAACAATCGGAACACGAGCTTGCTTCAGTGTCTGAGTCGGTGCGTTGTCCGTATTGAAATTTGTCTGGCCCCATCCGGATACGACACAGGAAGCACTTGAAAAAAAAAAAAAAAACGACAATTGAATAGGTAGGTACACAAAAAATTGTTCAGAAGAAGCATGTGCTTAGCTAAGTGTAAGAAGACTAACATTCTAACATAGTATTTTACAGCAAGGTAAACGGTTTAAATATCTTCTATTTCTTCTGTTCATTATTCGTTTTGAAATATTTAGGATTATTAAGAAACTATTACCTTGATGATCCAATATAATTTCTTCCAGATTGTGGCAAACATATCGGCATCACACGGTTATTCATATACATCGGTGTGGCCAGCCTCAAGATGGCCACATCGTTCTTAAGATAGGTTTGATTGTAATTGCTATGTATCCACACTTGAGCGACTTGCGACGTTTGGACGTTATTCGTATTGCCAGTGTTGTAAATGCCCATCGATACACTTATGCTTGATCTGGACATTTTGTAAAACGAATTTCAACAAGTTAATTATGCCTGGAAAATCATTTCTATACTTACAAATTTGATATTTTATGTGCAGCAGTTAAAACATGAAACTGATCGAGCAGGACGCCACCTCCAGCGTAGCCATTTTTCTGTCCCAAATTGTTATTGTTTCTCAAGAAGGCCTGCCAAGGAAATGCATTTTCGGTGGCGAAACCACTGTTCGGACCAGGCAAAACTGACGGGGTTCCACAAATTACGCTCGTACAGCTAATGTACCCGCTGGGGCAACTAGTCGGCGATACTATACCAACCTAGTGAAGTAATAATGACAATTTAACTAACTTCAGTTCCAATCGCAGCGATAATATTTTTTGTCAATCTGCGCAGATGACCAAAACTGGTTTTTTCATGTCTCTTCAATCCCTAGGTTTGCGCATACCACCCCGAAAAAAGCTGGAGTGCTGATTAGAAAATCTTTTTCGAAATGTATACTTTTCCAGCAGATATTACATAAGATTATGTTGGATGTTGTTGTTTAAATGTGGAAAATTTCATAAATGTTATGTAAGTCTAGATTTTTGAAAGTAAAATTTAACTAACTCATCGGATTCTGTTTTAAACGTAAATGTTGACATCAAAGTAAAATTTAAATAAATTTGAAATAATTTTTTTACCAGCATTAGTTTTATGTCAAGTTTATGTAAATACTATAACTGAATTTTCGAGACGAACTACTTCCATGATTTCATGAACATAAACGCTTTCGCGAGAAAATCATGACGTCATATTGAACGTAGTTCGACGACATCCGTCGCGAAAATTCGGTTTATGTTGAATAAAATCAACTTACATTTGGAGTAACAACACCTGTTGAGCCTCCATTACCACTTGGAAAGCCTCCATTACCGCTTGGAAAACCTCCAGTCCCTATTGCCGCAGACGTACTCGGGCTTAAAATCCGAGGATCTATAATGTTACCGCCACCGTTACACAGCGATGGAATAGTGCAAGTGAATGTTGGCATTTGTCCCTGAGAGTGACTCAAACCTGAAAATGTATCCAAATTTTCAATCATTCCTGGAATCCAGGAAAAGAATAATCCACACTCGTAAGCAACAAAGGCTCACACTTGTGTCAAATCATTGTAAGTAGGAATTTTTCCCAAAACTGACGACATAAAGATGAATTAGAGATGATATAGAGAAGAAATTTGATGACCTGGCCTAAGCGATTATTGTTTCCATTTCAAAGTACAATAAAATTTATCAATGATCAGTATTTTAGTTATTTAGAATTTCTTGTGTAATGGATCTTGATTTTAATGATTTGAGAAAAGTGATTGTGGAACCTTGGCAATTTAAGAGCATGGGCGTATCTCATTTGCTGTATTTTTACTCAACCAAGAGAAAAGTGATATAGTCAAAAAAGTAAGTTACCTACTTTTCCGCAATAGATAAAAACTATTTCCTAAACAACTCACCTACGACACAAACTACTAAAACCAACTCAAAATTCATTTTTAAAAACTAACACAAAAGTTTCTAACACGGAGTTTTGTCAAGAGCAGCTAACGACAAAGAGCACCTCGGGAATAATAGCACCCAGCCACAGGAACCAAGTTAATTTATTCTTCGGACGTTGACAATTAATTATATGATGGTCACATTTTATAAAAATTAATATCAGCTCCACTATAGGTGTTTTACTGGTTTATTGTGTTTGTATCATGGTTATTAAAATTATATTTTTATTGGGTGGAACAAATAATATTAAACCACGACAAAATAGTTTAGAAAGAGATTCTTTCTTTTCTGTGCAATATCACCATTCACCATCAACTATTTTATGTTTTTTTTTTTTTTCTGTTCTTGAAATAAGTCAACGATAATGAAACATGCCAAAATATATTGAAACAAATTTGAACATAATCTTTAAGAAAAGGACCACTTTTTCGTGGAATCGATATTACAAAAATGTAAGGTGTAAGAGCAGAATACTTGAGCCACTCTATAATATAGATACCTACCTATATAAAACAAATTAGCCGTTAATTTGTTGACGGTGAAACAAATTAGGATTTTTCCAACTATCCTAAGGTAAGATTTAATCGGTTTTGCGTTAGAATCATAAGCCATGACCGGAAAAAATATCAAATTAAACTATTGAATACAAAAGATATAAAGTGTAAACCAAATATAAACAGATATAATGTGCATTGTAACGTGTTAAGGCTAACATTACTATTGACATTTTTAAAAGTCAAGTTCAAACAATTTAATTTTGATCATGACTATAACGACAAATGCATCAATTTTTACTTTATTAGATTTGGATTTTTTTGTTTCCAACAAATATATCTTAAGAGTTCCGTTGAATGGGTTGCAATAATTACAAAATCATCCTGGATCTAAGTTTCTTGGACTGTTTTTTTGAGAATCTTCCTCAAACAATAGGGATACGAGACGAGATATGATAAACAGCTTTAGTTGATGAAATTATCGACAAGATATCTACGTAATACAGCTAGTTTAAGATTCGGCATAATTAGCTGATAAGCTAATAACCTATTCCAAATCCTAGTTGTCTTCTAGAAGTATTTCCCTGAACAATATTGGTAATAAGAAACCTAATTCGATGTAGATACTTTTAATGAAATAATTATTGTAGATAGACAAAATTTATATTTATTTGCCCTAATGGGTTTATAATAGTTCTAGAACAAAAATAGCTAGCGTTTGAACATTACTATGATATTCCTTTAAGGGTATACTTTTTCCTTTGTGAAAGTGATATAATTACATGATAAGTAAATCTACAAATTGTCGTGAGAGGTTAACCCTCCAGGAAACATATTTATTACAGTCTATAATTTGTGAAACTTAACTTCAATTTTGTTAGACAGGTATTTTTTGTCATGTATTCCTTATATTTATTAGTTCTTTTGTGTTTATTGATAAAAACAGGATGTTTTGATAAACTGTCGATGTATTATTTGGATTGTTTCGATTTCGAATAGTTTCAGCAGAAAAAAATTGATTAGATGATAAATCATTTATAAGGAATATTGAGACAAAATTGCAGCCCACACGACACACAACATCTTATGCATTACAGGTTTCACAAACATTTTTTTTTTTCTGTTACAGATTCAGATTCTATAAGTCAAAGTAGGTATTTATACTGATTGTATTTGTTAATTTTAGAAAATATTTACCTATTTTTACTAGGTAGTAATGTATTTTGTTGTGTTGTTAATTTAAATAAAATTTCCATTCTGATTTTGCATACGTGGAATTTTTGTTCTAAATACCATTCGTGCTCAGATTTTGAGCCGGATATTTTTTGCTTGCTATCTCATACATAAAATTTCGGCCTATAAACCAGGTATCCCAAGATACTACACTTTTACCTGTTTACCAGATTCCGGCTCCAGATTTTTCATTTAAATCTAAAGAAGAACTGGAACATGAGCTTTATAAGAGTTCAAAAATTCACCTCTATATCTGGTAGCACTCCGCGGTTTTATCTTCTTTAGGGACCAATTATTGAACACATGCAACAATTGAGACCCGATGAATTCGATTGTCATGAAATTGGGAGCATCTTTCACTCTGAAGCTTCAGCTTCACAAACAAAATATTTTGTTTCAGTTTACAGACAACAATTTGTATCAGATCAAGTGCCCATTTTATTATTATTAATGTAAAAAAAATTGATGCAAAACTGCCCACCATAGAATTGCGAAAACTTGCAGGTGATGCATACGAGCGATACTCAAAGACTTTTTAAAAGATAGACTATCTTCTTCGCAGGACCATACCATTCCCAGAGTTTTACAATTACAAGCTTCTGGGGGACTAAAATGAAGATCCTGCAGCTATGATTCAGATGTCGTAATATTTTTTTTTAAACTATTTGATTTCCATTTTTTAAGTTCGAAACTGTCTGTTCTTGATACTGATGAAACTTCATGGCAAAGCTAAACTGCTTCACTAACTGTCTCCGTACCTGATAACAAATCATCCGATCATCGACATAAAAATCGTGAAGCTTTGGTAAATTGAATCTTGTCGCAAGAAATGTTAATGATGCACTTGCTGTCCCATACGTAACTGTGTTCAATGCAAACGTTTCAAGAACACTTTCAGGATTTAATCGCTAGAATATCAATTGCAGAGGCCGGTACTGTTTTTCTACTAAAATTTGTCTATACATCTACAAATATCACCAAATTTACGATGGAATAGTATTGATAGTTTGACAGGTCTACGCCCTCCGTCCTCTGGAGGAGATTTATCTTCTAGATCTGTATAGCTGTACAGTTTTAGACAGGTCTGTATACAGCTCTAGAGACAGGTCTGATACAGCTTTGGACAGGTCCGATACAGCTTTAGACAGGTCTGTATAATACAGTTTCAGACAGGTCTGTATACCAACCATCTGAATTGAATTGTGAGATTTACCAGACGACGACTGGACAATTAAAAACAATCCGTAACTTAGTTGTGATACTATCTTCACGTATAACCCCATAATGTAGACAAAAATACGTTATTCGATTATCTCTGGGATTGTAAACTGACATGTGACCAAGGTTCTCGTATTCCTGCATAAATTCTGAATACGTTTGTTTTCTTCTCAAATTAAAATTCAAAATTTAGCAGGTGCCCATACTATTCAGCGAACGCGCTTGTTATTTTTGAAATTTTGATATTGGCAGCATTGTTATTATGAATTCTCATAATCGCACTAGTTGTTACGAGTCTAAAGCGACATGGGGTAGCTGAGCGAGAAAAAAGAGTGAAGGGAGGGATATGACTCTTGAAGGTGGCCTAAAGAAGAAATCCGACTTATAGGGCAGCTCCGACTGGCCCACAAAATAGACCTATTTCGCATAATTAGAAAAAGAGAGCTTAATTGTAATAAATACAAGTTAGAAAGCAATAAAAGATGACATGCGCGCGCAACTCGTAGGCTGCAGTGTAGCCATATTGTATTGTTGAAGAACAAATGTAGACAATACAAATCGAACATTATAACATTAAAGAAGTAATATAGTGTTAAGTGTTTTACGACGCCTTAAATAAGACAAAAAAACAGATTTGAAGTGGATGAACATCGTTTGCACTTTTATTTTGATAAATGTTTTATCCGGCAACATCGCTCAATGAAATTTCAAAGGAAAATGTCAAGTATAATCTAACATAACCTTAAACGAAACTGCGGTGAGTTCAAGTAATATGTAAAGTATTATGGCGTTTCCGATTGGTAGATTTAGTGCGAAACTAGTGCAATTTTTTCTATTTCTGTCTTTTTCTTCTACAGGTCGATTAAAAGGATGCAAATACACTCAGTGCGCACTGAATTTACCAATCGGAAACGCCATTAGTTTGCTCTTTGTCAAATTACACGTTACAAAGAAAGAAGGAACGATTCATTCTGAACTGGTCCCTGAATAAGAATATGACGAAAGCCTGTCACAAACTTGCTTCTCATTGGACGCTCACCTGCAACCTACAAGCGACGCGCGCAGTCCAGGTAATAGGAGATCGGTCTATTCCGGTAAATGGGGTGGGTCTAAATAAAGGCGCCACCTGTTTTCAACCCTGCAGTAAGTGCGCGTTCACATTGACACCGCTCGAGCGGTGAGCGTTGCGCGATTCCCCTGTATTGATGCCCAAAAATAATTTTACCATTATATTTCAAATGAACATGTTCACACTGGATCGGTGCGTCACGCGGTGTTAACATGTTCATTTGAAATATAATGTTAAAATTATTTTTGGGCATCGCTACAGCGGCATCGCGCAACACTCACCGCTCGAGCGGTGTCAATGTGAACGCGCACTAAGTCGGTTTCTGAACGAAAGATATTTTAAAACAGGAAACAGCCTATAGCATACAAAGAATCAAATCAACACCAAAGAAAGGAAGGTATACAGGCGATCATTCTTAAGCTGAAATCCCCTAGGATTGGAGAACTCGTGATCGCACCGCAGTCTGAGAAAAACTAAAAATTTTAAATGTCAATAATCAGGTGTAAAGGGAAAATAAAAGAAAATCACTGAATATTAAATTGTATATGGTTTTGTTCATCTTGCTTGATTCGCTTCGTTCAGGATTTAAAAATGATGTTTATCGGAGATAATAATCACCCCGTATCGCTGACACTCCCAAACCGCATGTCTGCGTGGCATACATCCCAGACGATGTGGAATACACCAGACTGACGGAGGAGCAGGTACTAACGCACCTGCGCAAAAGGGTCTGCTAATGCTGGAGTGGACCATTCTGCACAGAGAAGCTACTAGCCCTGGTCAGATATGGACCTTTTCTGTGTCCATGAATAGCCTCAAGGAGATGGACTATCATTCCTACTGTGGTTTTGGAAAGGTGCTTTTTCGACCGAGGTCCAGCCCTGAACCTGGACCGAGTATCGGAGAAAAGAAGCCTCGGGAGCGTGAGCCATCCACCTCAGCAAAATAAGCTACTGCTACAAGGCCTTCTCAGAAGCCTATACCAAGGGGTAAGGGTAAAGAACCCTCCTCCGGTAAGGTGGTGAAGAGAGGATTCCAACCGGGAACCGAAGGGAAGCGGGAGGAAGAAGTCCCCCGCCCCTACTAGCGCCAACAAAGTAAAATAGCGTCCCACGTCT